AATGCCAAGCCCGCCGAGACCCTGAAACCCGTGGGCAATGCCAAGCCTGCCGAGACCCTGAAACCAGCTGGGAAAGAAGAACTGAAGAAGGAGGTTAAGAATGATGTGAACTGCAAGAGAGGGGCCACCGACAATGAGAAAAGACCAGAGAGCCAAGGGACAGCCCCAACTTTCAAGGAGAAGCTACAAGATGTCCATGTGGCAGAGGGTGAAAAGCTGCTACTCCAGTGCCAGGTGTCCTCTGACCCCCCAGCCACCATCACCTGGACACTGAATGGAAAGACACTCAAGACCACCAAGTTCATCATCCTCTCCCAAGAAGGTAAATGAGGGTGGGGTCAGGGAAGACAGGGACCCTGTACCAGGGCCACTGTTGGCTCATGGAGCCTCTGTCTGGTTGATGATCACTCATCGCCCATAGCCTGAGTTGGAATGCCCAGTCCCTGTTCAACCTCATTTACAGGATAGGTTTTCTGCTCAGGGACCTTGGGTACATGCCCCTTGCTGGGCCGTGACAGCTGGGTCTCTGATCCTTGTGGTGTAAGCCTATATCTTGGTGTCTTCTGGCAGAGTTCTCTCATGACACCCCCACCCATGGTTCCCCAGAATTTAAGTGGGCCTGAGTGATGCCCAACAACCTGAGCATGGAGAGGGCTGTTTGTAGGCTGGGAAATGGGGTTGAAGGGACTCTGGGCTGTGGAAGCAGCAGAAGTTTTGGCCAGGGGAAGAATATGCAGGGCGGCATAGTATGGGACTATGAGTTGGGGTCAACAAAATCTTACATCTTGAGAGCATTGTGGGTTTGTAGGAACCTGTGTGGGAATTCAAAATCCCAGTGCAGCCCCAACAGCACATACACAGACAGAGCTGCTTGCTTCCTAATTTGGATGAGACGTTTGTTTGCTGGTATTTCACATTCTTGGGTGGTGGTGGGGGGGGGTTGTCAAATCCTGCCATCTGTGGTCTTTTGGAGTCTGGAGTTCTCAGGTGGGCCACTTTATACCTAGAGAAGAGAAGGGCTGAGCGGAGGTTTTCCCCTGGCCCCTCAATTTGGTTGGAAGTGTTTTTATAAATCCCAAGCTTGGACAGGAGCTCAGAGGCCAGCAGATAGCCCACACCCCACTCTGGTGGCCAGCAGAGGAATAGGGTCCTTCCTGAGCTGAAAGATGCCACTGGGGGCTCTGGCCAAGGCAGAGCATGAAGAAGCTCCCCAGGAGGTGGATTTACCTCTGAAGGGCAGAGGGCAGCCACTGCAGAGGCCAAGTGCACAGTCCCAGCAAATGCAGGTTGGTGGAGACAGCAGAACACTCTTCCCTCTGCTCTCTTGGGGCTATCCTCTGGTCACACCCCTCTCCACCTATCCCTTACCCCTCATCCCACTATATGCCTCCCACTTTCAGCTTGGGAGGAAGTATTCGAATTAGCAACGTTCCTCTTGCTCATTCTGCATCTCAGACAGCAAATATGGAACAGCCATGCATGTTGAATCTAATGGCTGAAGGGGAAATTGGAAATTTCTGTCAACAGAGAGAAAGAAACCTGTTGTATTTTGCAAACATGTTCACACAGTAACTTTTTCTCATGGATGTCCTCAGATGGTCAGAGTCCTCCAGAAGGCATCTTCTCCATCCCCCAGCATCTGCTAGCTCAGCCTCTGGGTTATCCACAATCAGATGGTCATGGGGGATCACTAGGCTGGGGCAAACACATACACATCCAGGGGAGTGGATTCCACAGCTTTCCCTATGCCCACTGGGGGCCTCCCCATTGGAAAACTCTTGGTCAAACTGATTGGAAAACTTAACCAGGAGCATTTCCTAGTTACCTTGTAGTGATCTTTCTGGGCAGGATGGAAGATGGGCAGCCATCACCCTTGGAACATGTGAGGTGACATGTGTGGTATGACTGCCCCAGCCTTGGTGAAAGATTCAGACAATGGCAGGGAGGGCAGGTGGCGGGGGGGGGGGGGGGGGGGGGACAATGCCCAAAGCCACTTAGCCCTGGGACCTGTGTGGAGTTTAAATGCAGAGCCACCACTAGGTTCAGTGGCCCCTTATAAATAATGTTTTAACTAAGAAGTATGAGGTAGACCCCTGCCTTGACCTCAGAAACACTCCTGAGCCGTTAGCCACTGGCTTCCCTCACCCTGACTGCCTGGAGTAAGTTTTGTCTGCTGGTCACTGGTTGTTAAAGAGCATAGAGACACCAGTTACTCCAGCATTGCCTCCCACAGAATCTGCCCCAAAGGCAATAGTTGGGTCCAGAGAGGCAGTAGCAGAAGTTACTAAAAAACCACCACAAGTAGAGACTAGGAGGGGTAGGAGAGGATCACAGAGATAATCCTGAACTTTAAACAATATTCTCAATATTTTAAAATGAGAATAGCTTGCATCAGTTGAACACCAGATACTGTCCTAGGCATCTTAACATTTCCCATTCACTTAGTCCTTACAACTACTATGATGTCCCTCTAACACAAGTTAGCACCTTGCCCAATGCTGCACAGCTCCTAAGTAACAGCTGGGACTTGAACTCATGTAGTTGCATTCCCATGCCTAGACAAAAAAAAAAGAGAGAGAGAGAGGGGGCGTGGCTCAGCATGTGTGAGGCCCTGAGTCCCACATAATTGGGGGCTGGGGGATGATGTCTCCTGTGCTCGCCAAGTTTCTGGTATTTTCCCTACAGTGGAGGGAGTAGACCTTGAAATGGGCCTGTCTTGCCACAGGGAGGGTGCCTTGTCTCAAAATAATCTTGCCCCTGTCCCTTCACTCATCAGTTCCATAAGAGCCCCTGTTTTGTTGGGGGCAAGTGTGCCTCAAGGCTTCAGCAGTTGCCACTGTTGTAGGCCCTACTGCAGGAGAGGACCTGTCGTCAGTGGATCTGGAGAGGGAACACGGGCTCACAATGATAAAACTGTTGGAGCCAATTACCCAAAGTGTGTCTGGAGGAACAGGAGCTGAGTGCCAGGGCCACAGGGAAAGGGCCTTGGGAAAGCCCTGGGCATCCATCTGAGCCCTGAAGCCACCAGACAGGCAGCGGGGAATTGGCAGGGGGCCTATGGCAGCAGAGGAAGGCTCCTAGCCCATATGGGCTGGAGAAGGTGGTTTGTCCCCAATTTCTTCCTATCTCATGCCAAGGAGCTCAAGTTTCAAAGCAAAAGGGAGTTTTGTGCAAGATTCTGGAATGAGGAACTTTGTGCACAAAGCTGGTTTTAGGGGTTTGGCTGACTCCATGAGCAAATGACAGGCATGGAACCTGCTGAAGGAGTCAGGGAGAAGGGTGGTGAGGCCTGGACCAGCACAGTAGCCATGGCCATAGACAGAACCAGTTCAAGAAGCAAGAGAAGTAATGGAACCTGACACCTGACTTGGCAGGCAGGTTGGGGGCAGGCTAGGTGGGCAAGAGGAAGGAGTGGCAGACCACTGAGGGGGTGTTTGGGCCACAGGTGTCAGTGGAAATAAGGAAGTTGATGGTTTGAGGTGGTTCATGGAGGAGGAAGAAGGGACTGACTATGCCCATCTCCCCAAGACTATGCCACCTCCCCAACCTTCCTACCCCTCCGCACCTCTCTGCCCCATCCCCTGGCTATGAACACTACTTACCCTACTGCACTGGCCTCCAATCCTGTCATCTCTTCTATCAAGACTCACCACCTCTGGATGTTTCCTCAGACCTCTGTAACCATTTCAGCCAAGAAAGATTTGCCCTCCCTCCTCCCTCATCCGTCTGTGTATCTGATAATACCAGCAGCTACGAGAAAAAGTTTATAGGTTTCAGGGGCTTCTCTGATGTCTCTGATATCTGTAGCTTGGATCAGCCTCAGAACCTGTGGATTCCCCAAACAGAATTACATCCACCCCATTTAGGCCCGAGGAAATCCTGAGAAGAGGTTTGACAGCCTTTGGTTGCTGTTCACTATGAGTTAATACTAGGAGGGACAGTCATGTGCAAGTGTCCTTCCTCCTTCTGCATCTCCAGAACTGCAGGGTGCTACCAGCTGGGCTTGCCCCCCAGAGACAGGCATCCAGGCCCCCCTTTCTAGAGCTGTCTTGGATGCAGGGTGGGAGGCAAAGGCCTGTGAGCCCAGAGCAGAGCTGCTGTGGCCCTGAAAAGTGCTTTTATCTTCATGGTTTGCTTGCTGTCTCCCAGCCAGGCTTCCCCCTCAGAGCATTTCTCCCAGTCTAATAATGAGGTCTCATTTTTGTTGCTGTTATCAAGAGATGATTCATTTTTAATTGCCTTCCAGGCGGAATCTCACGCAGGCTTTTTTTTTCTTTTTCAAACTGTGAAAGTCCATCCTATAAAAGGTAGAATTCTGCAGCACCTACTCTGTGCAAGGCCTTGTTCTAGTCCCTACTGTCGTATGTATAATCCACTCAGTGCTGACTTAGGAACTTTTTTCCTTCTAGAAATTATTTACCTTGTTCATATATTAT